TCAGTGACTCGTACACTCTGCACAGGGACGGAGCAATAACTTTCCATGGGATCATGAAATCCTTTTAAAATAATACTTTGCCTACAAGTCCAATGTACTTTGCTGGGACAGTTCTTTGCTGTCAGGGTGAGTCTCTGCATTCCTGCTGAATTCCTGGATGCCTCAGACATAATGCCCTGGGACATGAGAGGGAAGGGTGAGTTGGGAGGGATTATGTCATGCTTCGCAGAGCTGCTGTGCTGCGGAAAGAAACAGGCCAGATTTACCCGTTTCCCCTTTTTTATGATCTTTTATGTAGAAAAAGAGACTGTTGATGGTACAGATAAGGAGAAATATGTGTTTCTTAGTACTGCAACCTTTCAACATCAGGCAAGAGTAGAATTGAGGTTATTTTTGGAGTTTAACTAACGACTTTACCTTCAGAGAGGAGAGGTGCATTGTACCCACCCTACCACTCCTGATCAGTAGAGAAGCTTTCAGGTGTAACTTTTTTTTTCCTTTGGTTTTGCACAGAAACACTCTGGAGTAGACATCAACCTGGAAAGGTTTTAGGAATGAAGTAGCAATCCTCTGTGTTTCTTATTTTTCTTGCAAATCTTTTAGCAGAAACATCAGCTGCTTTGCAGCAAAGAGCAGAAAGTTAGGATGTGGCAGTTCTTGCTTTGCATCTGATCTTTGGTGTATCTATTCTGATAATGAAATTCAGTGAGTTTCCACATGTCTTTGGTGTCACAAGGTGATTCTTAGTGCTCTGGGATGCAGACTTCAAATCAGTAGCTGTCTAGCAGCAGAGGGATTCAACTCATTCCCGAGATGCAGCTTTGGCAATACCTTGTTGCATTTGCTTTTGTGACAGGATGGCATCATCTTTGCCCGTGAAAGACATTCTGGAAACTTTTCAGCATTGTAATATAGAAAGGAGCCACATCCGTTGTCATTAGTTCTAGACAAGAAGCAGTACAACAAACTGTATCTCTCTGACAGCCAATAAAAGGTAAATATTGCAGATATGCATAGGATCTAATCTCAGATGCCTAAAGGAGGGAGTAATCTTCTGGGATCCCGCTAGCTATGTAGGGGTTAGAACTGCTCCAGATGGAAGTTCAAAGGGTTGAAATGAAGCTTTGCTGTGGCACTCCACCATGTCTTAATTTCCAGGCAGAAGAAGACCTTGGCCTCCTTGAGACATGCACCAGCAGCAGCATGGGAGACTGGAAGGAAAGTCAGCCTCCAAACCGTGGTGGTTTTGTCACTCATACATTCATGAAGAGGTACAGCAGTCAGAAGGTTCTGTGAGTGTTGGGTGAGATAGGTTGGCTGTGAGCACTTTTCTTCATGATGTTTCCTGGTCCAGTGCCAACCTGAAGTTGTTCCACACTTGCAAAGTTCTTCCAGCAGCAGTTAGAGCAGTCCAGGTGTTTTTTTAATGGAGATGTGATAGAGAAATGGCATCTTTGTTTGGCACGTGTCTGTGGAACAGATTGCTTCTGCAATCAGATCATTTACTCACTTTCAGTCCATGTTCTCATCTCTTTAAAATGGGCACTATAATACTGTCTCATTATGCACAGGCTTTATGGGAGAGGTTCAGTAATCATTATGAAAAGGTCAGATGCTTCTGTGAAGGGCACCTATAAACGAGTCTATAAATAAATATCTTGGAAGCCTTTAGTAGAGGCTAACAATTTATTTATTTTTTATCGTGCTGGTTGCAGGGAATGTATAAAAGCACCAGAATACAGCTAATTAATTGAGTGCCTTAGTTTTGGTTTGGGGGCACTGAAATACGTCTGGATTTAGCAATTGGCTTTGTATGAGACCTGACCAGCGCTGAGCTCATACCAATGCACAGTGTGGATCTATGAGATCTGTGCTAAGTCTTGCTGGACATCGTGTTTCTTAATTGAGAAACATGTGTGTTTTATTGAGATGATGCTAGGCTGCAAAATACATCCTCAGCAGCAGTGTGGTACCGGTCCTTTTCCGTTTGGCTCGGAGCAGAAGAGAACTGTTAGTGTTGCTTTTTATTGACTAGTCTGAGTGCTGCTACTTCTTTGGATAGTGTTCAATAGTGTCAGGTCTGTACTTGAAGTGCTCAGTTCTCTAGCAAGGAACTGGTTTAATTCCACATTCTGGCAGTGTTTAAGGAAGATAGTAAGAAGTGCCTAATTTACTCTGAGTTCATTCTGCTTTTCAGGGAGGAAATCACTCTCTTGAGCTTTTTGTACACCAATAGGCCAGTCAGTTAAATTTGTGTGTTATGTGCCCATGTGGTGTTTTGCCTGTAATGGGAAGGCTTGTGGTAGAACACAAGGACAACCACAGTTCTGGTGAATGGCAAGGGATGGGGGAAATCTTGGGCCATCTGGAAGGGCAAGGAAGATTGACTCTACTCCCCTGCACCAAAGAATAAACCAATAACAGTTTTCTCATTCATGCTTCTCTATAAAATGTTAGGAACTTTCTGGGGCTGACCACATCATAGCAAAGCATGACACCAAGAAGGGAAGGAAATTTTGACCTAAAGGTGCTGCAAAGAGAAGCAAACTCAGAGTAAAGATCCTTTTGTCTTGTGACACCATTTGGTGCCTCTTAGGAAGTTTCTCCCTAGGGAAACTCATTTAATTGCTTTAGCTTTTTTGTGTTAGCTATTTGTCAGAATTGTTTCAGTATTTCCAACTACTAGAGAGAAGCAGATAAACTCAGTGTGGAGATGTGCAGATACTCTGGCACCTGATCCCTATTGCACAGCTCCTGAGGAGGTCCTGCCCATCTCCTTGATCCCTGACTACGGATTGAAGCACAGAAAAGTCACTTTACTTTAACTGCAGGACATAGAATGCCCCATCTTTTTCTTTTTAACCAAGGAGACTGAGTAGTAAAGGGAATTTAGTCCCCAAACATCCTAGTACATCTTAATCCATCCTACCCCTGTTTGCAAAAATGCTTAGGCCTCTGATTCTTTCTTGTGTCACATAGTTTAATGATAGATAGAGAACATGGTCATTACTCATCTTACAGACCCAAAAGCAGTTAGCCAGGCTGGATGTTTATTTTTGATCTGATTTAAATAGCTGTTTTGAAAGAGTGGCCTTTTCCTTTGACAGCCTGATCCCACCTGGGTTTGCTTTTATCAGCAGTAAAGAGAATAGGGCTCAAACCTTCAGTTGCTGCATGAGTTCATTCCTACCCGCTAGGCTCGCGTAGGATTGTCCTGGGCTTTTGGCTCTTTGTGGGTGGGATTTTAATGACTGCAACCTTTCTACTGTTACTGGAGAAAAATCCTGAAAGTCTTCACTACAGAGGAGTGGAAAGCATCTAAGTGCATGAGAAATAAAAACAGGGGCTGCTTTAAAAGTTAAATGCACTGATGCATTAGGAAGAAAAAAAAAAAGAATCTGCAGGCTTTGTTCTTGACTGCAGAGTGATCCATTTTAAGAAAGAAGATTTTGTGTCTCATTTTGTCTTCAGTCCACTACCTGTTACTTTTATCTCAGAATAAGAAATGTTCTCCCACTTTGGCATGTGCACTGCTTTGATCCTGGTTGCAGAGAACCACAGGACAGCCGCTGTCTCTGGTGGGACACTGGAACATTTCAGCACAAGAAGGGAGAGAAGGCACTATCCAAAAACTTGTAGGCAACAGAAGATACAGCAAAAGCTACAGCTGAAGAGCACTTGTGTTCATGAAAGCGTAGAAGAAAAGAATTGCACTGTATTATCACACTGCCAGCTATTCTGGTGTCTGGCCACCCTTCCCAAGCACCCAGGAGAAGTGGCTGTGGTCAGGATTTAGTTTCTACAGAATGGAGGTGCCTGAATTTTGTAAACTTCTGCAGAATCAGTTCTGAATGGAGGCAGTATCTCTGGGGCCATGTGATCATACCTGGCAGATGTTCTGTCTCCTGAGATCTTTGCTGCTGGCTTGAATGCAGATTTGAGCTCCCCAGCAGTGTATAGCACATCTGTTGGTTCTGGAAGACATCCCTCAGAAAGATGAATAAGCTTGGTGAAGTAATTCAGAAAACAAAGGATGTTGGATTTTTGTTATTTTCTTTTTTGAGCTCATCTTTGGCTCACACCTGGAATCACCTAATACAGCAATATACTGCATGATATGTTGTGTAGTGAGAGTTTATCTGGGCAATGCTCAGTGGTCTGGGAAACAGGCTTAGCATGTGGAACTCTCTAGCAGCAAAGCTATTCAATTTCTCCCTCTGACCATGAGCACATCAGCTAGTCTTGTAGCTCATCTGGTTGGCCACTTAATCCTCTTATGTAAGAAAGGAGTTATGTTGGTCCATGGTACTCCTGTGGTTCCATGGGTGGAAATGTTGCTGGCACTGATCCATTTTGCAGTTTATACTGTCTTTTGCTCTATTTCACTTCACGGTAGCCTTAAGAGAGGAGTTAGATGTGTGATGAGGTTGGAGAAGGCAGAGGAAGGGATGAGTCAGTATATCACCATGTCCTTCATGATGCTCACAGAAAATTTCACTTTTCTTTCTCACCTGGGTGTAACCTGTTGCTACTTCGACTTAGTCTTAGTCCAGAATAAGGGGGCAACTCCTCTTGGAACTTTAATCAACACTGAGCAGTTTTAGGTCTTTCCTGAAAGGAGGCAATATATTTTTGCAAGCAAAGAAATGTAGTATCCTGATAACCACTGGAACAGACTCTTTCCTTTAAAGCACAAAGGAAGGTTTTTCTCACCTGATGTCGTTTGCTTTAGTAATCTCTACTGAGTTTTATAGCCATTCTTGACTGCCAGTCCTGCAGGTTCCATTTGCAGGAGTTGGTCTGAAAAGCTCTCATTCACACATGTACTAAGAATCTCACCATATACAGGGGTGTGAAGTCAGGACCAGACAGGATGTAGGGTTAGCTGGACAGTTTAGTGTTACAGTTGTGGAGTCATTTATTCAAGCCTCAGCTTTTGATACTTTTTATTACTGTCCAGATGCTCTTCAGGAAAGTTTTCACCTATATGTTGCAGTTAGAGAACTGGTGAGTTTGTTCTTTTTTTCCAGTATGCTAGTGAAATGAGAGTAATTTCCTCAATATTTCTCTGCTGTGGCTCTTTCCTCCTGCAATAGCAGCAAGGTGCTTAATCACTATTTATGTTTCCTTCTTTTGAAACAGGTAATAAAGTGTTGCCTTGCTAGGCGAATGTTTGAGAATGATGAATTCAGTAGTACACGAGAAGAGGTCAGATGCTGCACTGAGTATCTTCTGTGGGCAAGGAAATGCTGAACTTCAGCTCAGTATATCACTGCTGAAGCTGTGCCTGGCCATGGGAGATGACAAGCAGCTGCTACCAGCCAAGGTATTCCTGCAAAACCAAAAGTACATTTTGTGCAGGGTTAGAAGATGATGGACTTGATTATGCTTATGCCCTTTTCTCTTTAAAGAAAGAGATTTGTTACATTTGCTAAAGGAGGATAAGCGAGGATGTCTGTTCTACAAGTGCTGCTCCTGACAAAATATTTCATCTCTATTTATATTTCTTCTTTCTACAATGGCTGCTGTTATTTTTGTCTCATTATTCATAGACCTTTTGAGGATTAATTAAGCAATAATTGTGAACAGGCCAGATTTCTTATTTAAAGGTTCCAGATCAGCAAGGCAATGAATAAATAAGACAAACAGATTTTGCTAGGGCTTAGAATGTATTAACTTCATCTCATTTTTCATTAGTTTGATATCGAGCTTTTCTTTCAGTCTGCTGCAATTGCACAATTGTATATAAAAAAAATCTGCTCTCAAAATCAAGTCGGTAGTTTCAGGGATTTATAAATATTGATGGCTGAATGTGGCTCCTGCTTGCATCATGACATTTCATACTGGAAAAAAAGAAAATTCAGCATCTGGGCAGTGTATCAAGATCCCTTGTCACCAGCCTTTTTTCCTCCATTCTTCAGCGTTTCTTTTGTGCCCTCGTAAGGATAGTGACTTTTTTTTTCCTAGAGCTGAACCTATTGGAGAAGTAAACACTTTGCATGAATAAAGCTAACAGCTAATTGATAATTTTATGTTACGCTTGTTAGAAAGCCTACCTTATAAACATTACCTTATGCAGTACTCTCAGATGTGGTCAAAAGTTGTGTTGTTCCATGGTCTTGGACTGAGCTGTTATAGCTGTAAGAGCTCAATTCTGTGAAGCAGCTGCTTGTGTTGTTTGCCACATCTGGAAATAAGGAATAAATCGTGTGTATGTCCCTAGGAAATGAAGCAAGTGATTTTCTGCTTCTGCAAAGTTCATCACAGAATGGAAGATACTTCTGTGTATTTGCGTCTTACTGAGCTAGACATCGCAAAACAGAGATGCACAGAGCATTAATCCATTTTTGACCCAACTTCTTTTATTCCGAGGAAAAAAATAATTCATCCTTATGTTAAGCTGTGGTTGGATTAGATACCCGAAATTTGAATACTAGGGAGAAAAGGAATGGCTGCCATAAAAAATCAGAGAAAGTCTACATTCTCTCTGGAAAAATTCCTACTGTACCTGTATTGTATGCAACTGGTGACATCTCAACTTCTTAGAGCAGTTGTTGTCCTAGAAAGGGACTTCTGTGTGTTTTTTGGTTTGCTTCTTTTTTGTAAGCTTGCACCTTGGAGGAGAGTGTCTGAACACCAGTCTGTGTCCAATAACTGCCTGTGTAATGGCTTTTTCCTGTAATGAGCAAACATAGACATTTTATATTTTTCTGTATATTTATTTTCTCAGGGTAGTTTAACCTATACTGCAAGAGGTGGATGGAAAAGTTTTGTTGCCCAAACGTTGCTTAGTGGTATTGAGCCATGTGGGATTAGAACTTAGTCTGTATGGCAGCTCAGTTGTTCAGTTTTGCCTCCTGATACTGGTGAAGGCTATATAAAAGTACAGTCTGTGCCCATAGATGAACTGCCTCTTGCTGTGTCCCGTTTTGTCCCACATGTATGTCTGCGTGTGTGTGTCTGCATCTGTCTTTCCTCCTTTAATTATACCCTTCATTACTCACTGAATGCAGCTTAAAAGTCTTACAGGTAATCCTGTGAATTTTGTGGAAATGAGTGTCCAGACAGAAAAGAAATACCCTACTGAGGAATGGATTCCTAGGTTCATACTTTATTAGACCTTGGGGAAGCCACATTGTGGAACTTGTTGGATAGCAGAGTACGTTAACTGCATCGAACTGAAAAAACAATCTGTTGGATTTTTGATTTTCAGACTGCCAACAAACCCCCCAAATCAATTAGTCAACAGCTGTACCTTCAGTGCATGTTTTCCTGCTGCTCACAGGAAGAGGCCATTTTATTTGCCTCTAATTATTTTTGCATTCAGCCTTTCTTGCTAGCTGAGGCAGTTACTACTCTTTGTGGGCGGATTAGTTCCCAGGTAGCTCCTGAACTTTTCAGATCTGTTGTAATCCCATTGGATATCTGCACTGACATCAGCCTCTAGCCACTGTATTGCTATCTAGCACACTTGTTGAGGAGGGAGGAAGGCGACCATATAGACTCCCCCTGAAATCTTTAATACTACCGTGTAGGGTAAATAGAAGTCCACTTCTTCTTCCTATGGCCTGATCTCCCTGTGTCTTTTCTAGATTCAGATGGAATTTCAGAATTCAGCTTGTTTTTTGGATACATTGATTTTAGTAAATTGTTTATGTACGTGCTGGGATATGTGTGTGTGTGTTTTGCGATCTGCTGTATACGTGAGCCTAGCTTGGCTGGGCAATGGGCTTAGCACCTGTCGGTGGTTTTCTTTTTTTGGGTATGCTTGAAGTTTTACGGCTTGGATTCTGTCCTCCCTGTGAATAAATTGTCACTTGTCAAATATGCTGGCTGTCAAGTGCCAGTGGGAAGAGGTAACCCACTGTGATTTGTATTGGGAAGTACCTGTATTATTCTAGGAAAAAAAAAAAATGCATCCAGGTTTTACTGTTACTAGAAGTGCCACTGCAGAAATTCATCTGAGATCCAGGGTCAACAAATGTTTTCTGTTCACTAATGGCTTATTTTTTAATCTCAGCTTTAAATCAAGAGAGAAGAATCTTTTCCATTACATTCCAGTGAATTGTGAAAGATGGAAATCGAATCACTGCTTGGAAAGCTGTACTTCTACAAGGAGCTATGTGAAGGTAGGTCCATTGCCTATTACACATGTAGACAGAATTCTCTTTTTTCCTGAGTAAGAAGCAATTTCTTTGCTGACCCATTTTATCTTGTTCAGTCCTACTGATTCGCACTACAATGAAGTACTTGGGACACTTATTTTGAGCCTACTACTACAGTCTCACAAAGGTGAGAAGTACTTCTACAGGGGCATCACGTGAGGGGTGAACTTCAGGTGTCAGAACTGCCACAAAGTGAATGACCACCAGCTGCTAACTGTGTGCCCGGCCAGGAGCCAGCAGATATTAACCACACATTTAGTTTACAGTCCTAGCTATAAAATTAGGATTTTGGTCATTGATTTTACTGAACTAAAGCTGAACATTGTATTTATCACACCTACCTCCTAGCCATCAGTCAAGTGTAGGAAATAAAAGCGATTTATACAGAATGCTCAGCTGAATGTTCTTCTGTTCTCCCACAGTTTGATGGAACTCTTGTGTGTTTGGGTGCGTCCCCCCTTGGCAGCTTCACCTGCTCAGCTCAGGTGAAAGGGAAGTATAGAAAAAGACTTGTTGCTGAGCATGATAGAAAAATCTCAGGGTGTGCATGTTCACGATGTTGCTACAATGTATGGATTCCTCTGGAAAAAGACTTTGCTGGATTTGTATAAGGAGCAGAAGTAAATGTAGCAGTTAATGGGGGAAAGTTTGCTTGCAAAACAAACTGGAAATTGATAGTTGTTTTAAATCTCTGTGAATTCCTCCTTTAAAAAGCTGCATCAAACTTCCACATCCCAGGGCACAATACAGTAGCTCATGATCCTCTGCTGTTTTGCTTGATGCAAAAGAGTGCATGTGTATCCTTTATTGTAGCCATTTAGTTAATAAAAAAATAACAGTCCTTTTAGTGAGATGAATCATTTCGGCACCTATATATTTGACATTGGGAGAATCCATTTACAGATGGCTTATACCACCTTTATTGGTAAGATTCATCTGGGATGCACTTTACATTTCCTCACATTAAGCTTCTTTCTTTGCTGTAGTGATCTCTTGGTGTGGGGTGCAGACTTTGCATCTGTGGCTGTTTTGCCATCTGCTAATGATTGCCCAGGCAGGAGGTGGCCTTATTTCAAGGCTTGATCTGAGCTGCCCCACAACTTCTTGGCCACTTAGCAAGATGTTTGGTATAGGGAACTGCAGAAACCTTTCACTTAGCCCTAGGTTTTGCAGCTGTGATTTACTTAGAGATTTCTACCCTCCCTTTCGATTCAGCTGAGTTTGGGCAAGCAGCTCAAATATTATTAGGAGTGCCTTTTAGGCAGTCACAGTGCAACCATGCAAACTCATGCCCTTAAAAAACCACATCTGGAAGTTTCCCATTTCAGTTACAGGGTAAGAACATAATAGGATCTTCTCACAACAGCCAAAGGTAGTAGGGCATTCTGTGGAAGCAAAATTAGAAACGCTGCCTCTATCTCTGTCCTCCACTGCTGTCCTAGGAGCAGCCTGAAACCTGACATAATTTGGTAATTTCATTCTTACAACTTCAGCTACCCTTAATGACCTTTAAAATTGATTTGCTTCATTTGCTTTGGTTTTAAGAGATTACACTTAAGTAATGCTCTGCTGCATTTAATGTTTTGTTGTATTCTAATTTACTGTGTGATGACTCTCTATATTAAATAATAGTAACAACTTCTGAATTTATTAATCAACAAGAGATGACAGAGAATTCACATTAAGCTCTCTATATATTTTGAATCGTTTATCTCCCAGGTAACATAAGAAAACTGTTAAATCATACTGAACCACATTCCTCAGCTGATGTAAATCAGCTAATATACAGCAGCTGAATTTCTTGCCCATTATGTTTTCCATAAAAGATGTCTTTGCCTTCAGAGCATCAATTATCCATGATTCTTCTACTTTTCTTGTTTTCTGCCTTCGCAGGTGCTGCTAATTCCCCTATTTTCTTCCAGAAATGGGAAAAATGATCTATATTAGGAAATGTGTTCTTCCTTTCTTCAGTAAGCTGCATTTTCATTTTTGGTATCCATATTTAAATCCTGATATACATACACATATGAACGATATGAGTTTTACTGCTGACAGTTTTAAATCCTACCATGTATCAGCTGCATAGACAATTTAACCCCTCCTGAGCTTCACCAGAAGACAATACATTTTTTTGCAGAAGAAGAGAAAGGAATGCAGTTTCTCACAGAGATCTCCATCAGGAAATAATCCCTATCTTCAAGTCCTACCATCCAAAATCAGTTAATGCTGATAGTGAATGATGCACTTAGCCTGGATGCTAGAGGTGGGTGAAAGAAAACCTTGGAGTAGCTCATCCCACTGTCTCCTGGCACTGACAGATGCACCAAAAGCTCCCACCAAAAGGGACATGGTTGCAGAGGCTCTTTTCTCCACTTGCTGATGCTCTCTGTGGAGCGAAGCCTGTGGTATCTGGGTATATCTTTTCCTTGCCTCCCTTTTGTAGATTGGGCATTTGAGGCGGGAGCAAAGTGAAACTCATCCCGTGCCCTGCTGGAATTCACCACTGGTGACTTGTGCGTAGCAGGTATGATCCGTACTGTTCCCCTTTCCTTGTAAGCCTGTGTGTGCCACTCATTACCCCACAATGTTTCTTGTGGGAAGCACAGGGTACACAGCCTGGACAGAACAGGGCAGAAGATTAATCCTCCTGTCGCTGCTAGATTTTAATTGGAAGGGAATCTGTCTTTGACTTAATTTCCTCTCTTGTCTCAACCAAAGTCTAGTGGATCAAAAGAAATGCAAATTGAAAGAGAATATTTTGGATGTGCCTGATTTTAAAGTTGAACATGATTAATCTTTCGAGCCTCTGACTTAATGTCAGTACCATTTTTCTCACAAAAGCATTGGAACAACTTATATTGCCTTGAGTGACAAAAAGAATTTTTTCCAAGAGAGGAAATCTGAATGATGTCGTTGTAGTATTAAAATGTAGCTGCTCACTGCTTCATGTTATCAAACCTGAAATTATCCTTTACATTAAAATGCTGTATGTTTTATTTTGTAATGAGAGGGCAAAGATCCAGTTGCTACAGAATGTCAAGATAGTGCATATGGGCTGCCATAATATAGCAGGGTGCTATTCACAAAGAACTTCAATGGGCTGATTATCAGATTATTGGCCAATGCAATTCTGTAATATATCTTTTTTTTTTTTTTTTCCTCCATTTTCTTCTCCTTTTATTTTTCTTATTATTTTGAATTACAGCGCTAGGAAAAATATTTCTCCAGTGGTTAACTTGAGTTTGACTTCCAACATCTCTTTATTTGGCAAGAAATGAATTCAGCGGTTCTTTTTAGTGCTTGTGAAAATGAAGGATAGTTGTGCCTGCACTGCAAGAAAGGTGATTTAGGTAAGTGTCTCTGAGACAGCTTGAGTCAATTTACCTCAGGCTTGCCATGAAACTCTGCATGACTTTGCTTCAAACCCCTCCCGAGCGAAAAGATTTGCTCTTGCTGAGCTGTATCCAAGTAGAGGGTGCTTTTGTTGGTGTCCTATGTTACGGCTGAATAAAATGGGAGAGGAAAATTTGCCATCGATGGAGCCACAAATGGAAGGAGAAAAGGTTTGTTTATTTATTTGTCCCTATATTCAGCCTGGGGGTGATGGATGTCTGTAAGGATTCTCTGTACCAGATTTTACTGCTAGTTTTCCAGGAATTCCTCATTTTCAAAGCAAATGAGATTTCTATGCCACCACTTGCTTTCTGGTAGTAGAGCCTTACATATTGACTGACATGTTGGTAGATAAATGTTCAGCCCTCTGCTCAACCCTTGCTTGCAGCAGCCCATAAGTACCGGTGGAGAAAATAAACAGAAACCTTCTCTGCCACTGAAACCATACAGGCCTGATCACCTCATGTGTGCCCTGTGGAGTGTATCGATGGCAAAGCTGACACAAGGGAAAATATGTGAGGGCAAATGCTATGTTTCCATTCCTGTGGCACTTATTTATACCTTGGGAGGAATAGCTTGTGCCTGCTCTCTGAAGAGAGCCATTCCTTTGCTCATGCAGCGACATCTCTCAGGCCAGCTGTGCTGTCTCCGAGACACTTGTTATCAGCTCTTACAAGTGTGGAAGAAAGCAACAAAATCATGACAATGATAAATACTGCTTCTTTACACGCTTACACGATGCCAGCCCAGTTTGTGAACCAAAAACACTATTGTGGTCTGGCTCCAAGTAAACAGAGCTATTAGCAATCACAGGAGGCAATCAGTTCGCAGGTTTGAGCTGACCAGTTGTTACTAAAGAACTTTTTTTTTTTCCTGGACTCCTATTGTTGTAGAATCTCTGTAGAGCTGTGTTGCTGCTGCTTGGTGGCTAAAAGCAAAAGTACATGAAGAAGGAAAAGAAAGGATCATAAAACAGAATGTCTCTCATTCCCAGCTCGCTAGCAATTGTAGCAAGTGATCCCTTAGGCACCAGGTAGGGCCCCAATAAGCTGGCACAGCCCCTGTGCATGCCATCTGCTGAGTTTCAAGCCTTCTACTACTCCCCCATTCTGCAGTGTCTCCTGCAGCGTATGGCTGCTTTTCTACTGAAAGTGCTGCAGCACGCTGCTAGCCCAGGTTATCAATTTGCTAGCACTTACTACAAAGAAAGGAGGAAGGGAGTGCATTACATAGAGGAAAGTGAATGTGCTTTGCATTTGTATGGTTTTAATCTCTGTGTTTGTGTTTGTGAGTGTAGTAGGAAGTTTCTCCAGCTTTTTAAAACTGGCCAGGACAAGAGCCCTAATTCCTGTGTGTCGTTTCACTAAAGATGGGGATATTTGGCCTTTTTTATTTCCAAAATGCCATTCTTAGGTGGTGGCAAGCAAAACTGCAGCATTGGAATCATTTATGTGGTTAATGCATTGAAGGAGAACAATAAATTAAAATATGGTGTATATACTATGAGATGCAGGTCTCAAAATGATGGACTGTCATATGAAAGTGGGAGTGAAATAGGGAATTCAGACCAAAGAAGAACATTAATAAAACACTCAGTGTTTTATTCTGTGTCAGACAGTTTCTGTTCCGTCTAAACTGGCATATTTCCTAAAACAATATTGTTTAAGGAGGCAGCTAGTGCATCAGAACATCTTCCCACTGCTGAGTATCGTCAGCCCAGCACTTTGTTCTGATCAAAAAGGTAAAAAATATGAGCACAGAGCAAGGATTGAAAGAAAAAAAATAAATGAATCCCATGCCCCTAAACAACAATACAAGTCAAAGCAAAGTCATAGCAGTGTAAGAGAAATTCACAGGAAAAAAAAAAAAAAAGCATTTGGAGTCTTGGAAACATACTAAAACTAAGAGGAAGGTGAATGAAAAGGTGTTCCACCAGGATGGTGTAAGTTTTAAATGGTCATGCACTTAAACTGCTTTTATTTTGATCTGTATGTGTAGCTGAAAACAAATGCATTTGCAAGAATTGCATATACAAGGATAATCTGATGTTGGGTTTTGATGTGTTAGAAGGACACTGTAATAAACATCGCCATATCCAGCAAAGATGAGTACCAGGAGGCACCTACTGAGTCACTAACGTTTACCATCTTTTTTTTTTTTTTTTGCTAAATATCTTGTGATCTCAAATAAAATTCCACTAGTTAAATGATTTTATTTTATTTTGCAGTCTCTGTACTTGATCAGTATTTTTTTGAGGGAGACTTGCCAAATTCATCAGTGCTGATCTGGAAGCCAAAATAGATATCCATGTGTTCAGAAGAGGAGAAATGCTGAAATGCAGCTGGAAAGCAGCTCAAGGCTCCTGCCAGTTGTACTGGCTCACAACTAAGAGGTGAGTGATGCTACAGCAAGTGTGCAGTCCAGCAAGGTTGTGTGATGGTGGCATTTGGGCTGACCTGATCTTTTGGAGTTGAATTCTAGCCTCAGAACTGTGTACAGAATAAAATGCAATTTAGAGGGCAGCAGGGCTGCTTTTCCTGAATGTTCAAATCCCTCCTGACAGCTACAGGAAGCAGGAATTTCTGCACAGCCTCCTCTACTAATACAATTGCATTTTCAACATTTAAACAACAGTTTATTTTTTTCTGGGATAGAAAATTTCTCAAAAATTTTGGGGGGAAAGAAAAACAAACCTTTAGAAAAATGCAGATGGAAAGCTTTCATTTATGCAAAATGGAAGCATGCTGCGAGTCATTGGAGAAAACCTATATTTTCTTGACAATTATAACAATATTAGGTAGCAGCGAAGGTTTCCAAGGCAACCTGGCCACGGGTGCATTCATGCGGAGTGTGTGTGACTACCTGCTTTGTCAAGCCAACGGATGGATGGCAGGAGGTGTATGTGGGGGGGGGGGGTATGTATCATTTCATCAGTCTGAACTTGGAACACTCTTTAAAAGCAGAGGGGTATTTTTTCCTCCAGAGTATGTCTGATTGTACCAACTGTCTTGTTGCTTTTGTTTTTAGAATAGGCAAGACAAAATCATGGGAGCCAGGGTGAAGGCAGCTGGCCAGTGAGAGGAACCTGGGTTAGGAAGTACCTTCTGGACTAGTTAGCATGGGGTCTGCTTTGTAGGACCTCTGCTGGCATAAATAAATACACAACACTTGCCCAAAATAAGCTTTTTCCTTCCTTTTGTGCCAAAACAAACACCAGCCTGTTTTTCCTGATGTGCTAAACCAAAGAATTCCTCCTGACACCTTAGGTTTCTTGCCATCTGTTGCAGCACTTGGTATCTTCTTAGCTTTGCTGTTGCTCCCTGCCACCTTTCTGTTTTGCAGATGGGAGCTTTCCTGGTGTCTCTGACCTTCCTGCAAAGTGTAGAAAGGGAAAAAGAAACCACACAATGTTGTTTCCTACATGCTGTGTTCTTCAGGGTTTCTCTCATGTTCCCTCTGAACTGTTGTTGCATGTAAATATTATGTGAGAATGAAGGCAGGTTATGGTGAGGTGGGGGTCATCCTCTTCTCCCATGTAACTAGCAATAGGACTAGAGGGAATAGCCTCAAGTCTTGCCAGGGGAGATTCAGATTGGATGGCAGGAAATAATTCTTCTCTGAGAGTGATCAGGCACTGGAACGGACTGCCTAGGGAGGTGGTGGAGTCGCCATCCCTGGAGGTGTTCAAGAAACATTTAGATGGCGTACTGAGGGACATGCTTTAGTGGGAAATAGTGGTGATAGGTGGACAGGTTAGGTTCCAACCTTGGTGATTCTATGATTCTGTGACCCCAGCTGTTGTTCTCCAAGTGTTACAGATGCAATTGGCTTAGGAAAAAATGTTAGGGCTGCTGATACAGTTGTCAGGAAAAGAAAAAGCACCCCCTACACCCTCTAGGGAACTTAGAGAGGACTCCTGCATGTTCTGGGGTGGTATTCATCAATCCTGAGAGCTTTCCAGATCACAGGGCAGGTGTGGCAGGGCCATGATGGAGAGCAGCTGGTCCTTCATTTGAGCTGAGCTTGCAGGTTTGCACTGACACAACAGCAGTATGGGTCACTGAGGGATGTTGTCACAGGCTGAGGTTTAACTGAGCATTTCCACTGCTCTTGAACAATAGTCCCCTTTACAAATGAGTTTCGCTTGGGGGAAAAGCATGGAGGATTCTGAATTATCTTTCTCTAAACCAAAGGTATTATTGGGCTGAAACATGTAGGTTCCGCTGGGAATTAACCAGTCACAAGAAGCATTGAGAGGAGCAGTTATTCAGGGATTGAAAGCTGCCTGCATGATCCCTCTTTCGGCTCTGGCATGTGGGCTCTTGAGCGCATTGAAACTCTGGCAACGTGCACAGCTGCATCCCCAGCCCCACGCTGCTTTTGGAGTAGCCGTGGTTGCTGCTGTGCATGATGAATGTCAATCACACAACAAGTGCTCAGAAGAAAGCTTGAGTGAGAAATTAAGTTTCTGGGACTTTGTGTTTAGATTATTTTTCCTAACCGTTGCTTTTTACCATGGATTGCAAAACGTCCTCTATGCATACAGATGTGCTCACAGCCAGTCTGCTCTCCAGAGCTCACACTTTTGTGCTTACAGCTGTGGTTCAGATGTGCACGGTGCCTGTGCCAGTGCGTACACTGCCATCCAGAGGTGTGATGGCAGCACGTGCAGGTACCAAGTGAGCTGACAGCCCAGGACTCCCAGCACAGGTGTACTGTTGCCACTGAGCTATGGTTGTATACTGCACCCAACTGCAGTGCGGACATCGGAGATTCTGCCAGCAGGATCCTCTTCTGAATTTGGTTGTTCAATCAACTGCCAAAGCTGTACAATGGGGAAATAAAGACAAGAGGTTGCAGGTCTGGAGCTTGTGCGACTTGCTAAGCCAGGAAAATGTGCTCAACTGCTTTTGCTGGGGTATTCCATTGCATTGTTCTCCAAGAGTTACAGATGCAATTGGCTTAGGAAAAAATGGTAGGGCTGCTGATACAGTTGTCAGGAAAAGAAAAAGCACCCCCTACACCCTCAAGGGAACTTAGAGAGGATTCTTGCATATTCTGGGGTGGTATTCATCAATCCTGAGAGCTTGCCACTGCAAGCTGAAATTTCTGACATAAGCCAGTTTTTCTGCTTGTGGGCAAGGTAGGCGGCTTGCAAACAGCCAGCCCAGACTTCAGAGCCCATTTCCACAGAAAGGGGTAAACTTAAATGGTTCATTCTCAAATTAACATAATCCCAGAGTGAAGTGCCCAGCTCTGCCATAGTGCTGCAGGTATCCAGAGTGCCGGAACTTGTGCCATGCCCAGCAGCTGTGTTTGTTGCAAGGAACTGCTGTTGCAAGAGATGAAGTTATCTGCTGGATTAGGGTGAGCTGCTGCTGGGCGAGCCATTCAGTTTGTTTAGGGTTTCTGATGTGGGTTAGAGTATTAGAATTCGAGCATGAATATAACTGAGACATTGGTGGCAGATAATTAAATTTGGCAGAGGCTCTTAAGCACTGAATATGTTACTGAATATTTGGGCACAAATGATTCATGCACATAAGTTTCATGTTGAAGACTCTCAACTACCTTAAGGCTGTGCATTATTTGGCATTTGGCTCCCAGAAAAAGGTGTATCAAGCTTGCATCTTCAGAGGCACAATCAAACGCTGGATTGAATTGCCTTTCCTTTGTACAATATGGGGCACTTGACAGTGCTATAGAAATCCCATTTGAAAAATGATAGCTGTTGATTTTCTGCTTGCTGAGAATTATTAGTATTTTTCTATCCTGCAAAACCAGCCATTAAATCAGCAAAACGCTTTGGCATTAGCGCTACTTGGAATGTGAAAAATACTGCTTCTTGTTGTTGAGCTGCAAATGTTTGGTTGCAAAGTTAAGGGAAAATCTAGGACAAATAAAGATCTTAATTTGAAAGACATTTTACAAGTAAACATGCAGCAGTTGTAGCTACAAATCAGATAATTGCTGAACATTTTAAAACCCAGGAGTATAAAATTAAAAACAAGAAAATCAAATTTAAGTGCAAACAAATAGCGGGGGAATTCTAAGTAGAAGGCTTAAATTCTTACTTTTTTATGGACCATTTCTTTTTTCTTGGCAACTTCAAATATTGCACAGTGGTCTTTATTTAATCATCCAGGTTATAATATTTAAATGAGCAGATACTTTAACGTAAAATGGTTTACAGTCAGTTTTTCTATTACTATATAAGAAAAGTACCCGCGAAATGTAAAAAGGTCAATCACTTCAATGAAATAACTTTTAAAAATAATACAGTTTTACAGCCATACATAAATATATGCATTCTATTATGTCAAAGAATATGAAATTATATGGCTCAGTGCTGAACTGCAGATTTTGCAAGGAGGATGCATTAGCTTTAAACTGGGATATATGATCACCAAAATGCATTATTTCTGCTTTGGGCTTTGTATTTCCAAGTAAAAGGTTTTTATACTTCCTGCTTCCCACCTTTGGCTATTTTTTTCCCACCTTGTAACAACAGACCTGTCAAAGTACTAGTATGTCTTATCACCATGTGTACTGGTAATGTACAATGACATAGACTGCTCCAAAAGTAATGCCTCCTAATTATTTCCGTGGAAACTACAACAGATACAACATGCATAATTACATTGTTTGGTAATTCACAGCTACAAAACACTCTTTTTTAACACCATCACCACTATTACCTGTGTATGTTAGTCCATGATGAACAAGAGTCTGCATGCCACGCTCATAAAAATAGGCACAAGCAGAAGTCACCTGCTGTAACCGCTGCTGAAACACGTCATACACCACCTCACTGTGCTCACATTTGTTGTTTGGTCTCTATAATCATTCAGTAAGCATTGATGAATGCCAGTGAGTGCATTTTTTTTCCACATGGAGGAATTCAATGACACACTTCGGCTTCATGTGCGTTTTCATTTCAGATACCATTCTGTCAGACTGCCCTTTTGCTGCCATCTGTCACATGGCAACAGCGTGTAATGAAATACTGGTGGGAAGGTTCATCTTCTGCTGCCATACCTCAAACATCTGCCTCACATATAGTGGACCAATGTAATAAAAGAGGAGGCATTATTTTCAGAGCAGTCCACATAGGTATTGAGATGCTGTAATGCTGCTGCTCTGCATTATGTCCGGCTGTCCTGTGCCAGGACAACCCGACTTCTCTGATGCATGTTTTGGGATAGTGCTGGTAGGTGAGTGGGAGAGCCAAGCTGAAGGGCGGTCCTGGTGTGTGTAGCAGTGAGGCTCTGAACGTATCCCCAGGTGGGATAGGAACTTTTCTGGAAGGTACAGGCAGGCAGCACTTAACTTTTGTGCAGAACTTCCTGAGATGGCAAAAGGAAGTGGAGAAGAGACCACGAAATATATTTATGCAAACATCAAGTCCTCCTGTCTACCTATAACAAATATTGGCTTATTGTTTTAGAACTTTTAGCTCCATGGGTAGACTTTGCATCACCTGGGAAGTCTGTAGTACTCCAGATATGTATATGGGGCTGCAGGCTGGCTAGCTCTCCTCCGTACAGTCCTCAAGCTTGTTGTAGAAGCTTAAAATCAAAATATTTTGGTTTTGTTGCTGTGAGGAAGGGTTTGTTTAGTTT